GCCGCTATCTTTATTATCAAGAAACAGTCCCCCAATAAAGCGCAGGGAAGCGATTCTGTATTATTGAATGTGACAACTTTATTGTAACCCCTGACCTGGAACAAAACGTGCAGCCAGGGGGAGGATCTCCTCATCTACATACTTGTTCACGGTGTGTGACTTGGGATCCCTGGAGATGGCGGCCTGCTTCTCTCAGGATAGTTAGGAGGTTGGGTCATATATAAATGACAATCATGCATTGTACAGGTTTCCTTTCATGAGATCTTAGATTAGGAGGTTGGGTTGTGTGGGGTTTCCCTCAATAACATATCGGGAGATGCATGTAGGGCGTGTTAGGAGGTTGGGTTGTGTGAGGAACACAGATGCAGGGCACAGGTTTCCTTTGGGACATAGGTTAGGAGGTTGGGTTGTGTGAATGACACAGATGCAGGGAACAGGTTTCCTTTAATGATGTAGCAGGTTAGGAGGTTGGGTTACATGAATGACACACATGCAGGGCACAGGTTTCCTTTAATGATGTAGCAGGTTAGGTGGTTGGGTTACGTGAATGACACACATGCAGGGCACAGGTTTCCTTTAATGACCTAGGAGGTTGGGTTATGTGGACTATACACATGCAGGGCACAGGTTTCCTTTAATGATGTAGCAGGTTAGGAGATTGGGTTATGTGAATGACGCACATGCAGGGCACAGGTTTCCTTTAATGATGTAGCAGGTTAGGAGGTTGGGTTACGTGAATGACACACATGCAGGGCATAGGTTTCCTTTAATGATGTAGCAGGTTAGGAGGTTGGGTTATGTGAATGACGCACATGCAGGGCACAGGTTTCCTTTAATGATGTAGCAGGTTAGGAGGTTGGGTTATGTGAATGACGCACATGCAGGGCACAGGTTGCCTTTAATGATGTAGGAGGTTGGGTTACATGAATGACACACATGCAGGGCACAGGTTGCCTTTAATGATGTAGGAGGTTGGGTTATGTGAATGACGCACATGCAGGGCACAGGTTTCCTTTAATGATGTAGCAGGTTAGGAGGTTGGGTTATGTGAATGACACACATGCAGGGCACAGGTTTCCTTTAATGATGTAGGAGGCTGGGTTACGTGAATGACACACATGCAGGGCACAGGTTGCCTTTAATGATGTAGGTGGTTAGGAGGTTGGGTTACATGAATGACACACATGCAGGGCGCAGGTTTCCTTTAATGATGTAGCAGGTTAGGAGGTTGGGTTATGTGAATGACGCACATGCAGGGCACAGGTTTCCTTTAATGATGTAGCAGATTAGGAGGTTGGGTTACGTGAATGACGCACATGCAGGGCACAGGTTTCCTTTAATGATGTAGCAGATTAGGAGGTTGGGTTACGTGAATGACACACATGCAGGGCACAGGTTTCCTTTAATGACGTAGCAGGTTAGGAGGTTGGGTTACCCCAATGACTGTCTCCTTGATGCTCTGCTTCTCTTCCAGGACCTAAATAGCCAGGAGGAGGAAGACCCCATGAACAAGCTGAAGGGTCAGAAGATTGTGTCTTGTCGGATCTGTAAGGGCGACCATTGGACCACCCGGTGCCCATACAAGGACACGCTGGGCCCCATGCAGAAGGAGCTGGCCGAGCAGCTGGGTCTGTCCACAGCAGACAAGGAGAAGGTCCCGGGGGCCGGTCAGTACGGGGGAGGGGAGGAACCGGAGCGGGAATCTCTAATATGAACGTCTTTCACTCAGCTAATCCCGGGATTCATTTCCTCCACAGAACCAGAACCGGCCCAGGCTCCGGTCAGCAAGACGGGGAAATACGTTCCTCCCAGCCTGAGGGA